ATGAACGCTAACACTCAGGTGTGGAATAGCAGTATGGTTATGAATTGAGTACTGGGACATCTAAGGTTCCCCTTGCTATGATAACTCAACTCATTCTGAAATGTTGTCTGAAAGGCAGGAAGAAGAGGAGAGACAGACCTGAGAAATAAAGATGAACAGCTCGTTACCTTTTGACTTCCTGAAGGGCAGTAAGTTTACCTGACAGCTCCATCTCTCTCAGTGACATCTGACACAACACCGCTGAGGAGGTTCAACTAGTTTCAATATGTTTCTATGTTCCTTTGCACTTTTCAATAAACTATCTACTCTTAATAGTAATTCAACACCAAATTATATCCTGATAAAACTGAAATTGAGAATTCTAATTTAAATTGCATGCTAGTAGTGGTCCATGAATACTTATGTTCATGAAATTACTCAAAGCAATCATTTTAATTGAGCTTTTTATTAATTTACTAAATAATTAGAAATAACCACACTGTTAGTCTGGTTCAAGCTCAAGCTCAAACAAACTAAAGAAAACCAAATGCTAGTTCTGACCAGCTGCAAGCCATGGCCTTTTCCTGAGGGGCAGCGTGCTAGACCAGTCATGGCAGAAGCTACTTCCTCTCACCCCTCAAACACGCAGAAACCCAAATGTACAGTTCCATTTAAACTAACTTCCAAGTGCTGACCAACATGGAACCACAGGCCTGCAAGAATTTAGAGGAGTGAAACGCATCACCTACAGGACACATTCTCTAGACCGGATGCAATTCCCATCCTCTACCCAAAGACATCTGCTTCCTCCACAGCATGAAAAAGGAAAGCGAAGCATCCACTTTTCCCACAGTTATCCTCCCTCACTCCCACACACACAGTTGGACTGTTCCTTTTGTCCCTCCTTTGGCTCTTGTCTGAAAAAGAAGAAGAGCAGAAGCAGCTGACAGAGCACCCTAGGTCTTCCTGGGAGACCTGCCCCAACTGGCCCACAGCAGTTTATTAATGGAATCCACAGAAACCTTTTCTTAGCTCAGAGGCTCACCAAGAAGTGAGAAAATAAGTGTGTGGTTTGTAACAGCTAAGAGGATGATCACAGCCAAAAGGCAGGCATCCAGAACCCCTTTCAGTTACTGCAAACTTCATCAATTTAGAAGCCAAATTTTTTGAAATGCATGTTATCTATGTGCGTGTGTGTGCATATGTGTGTATGCATGCCACAGGGATCAGAGGACAATTTTCAGGAGCCAGTTCTCTCTTCTGCCACAGGATCTGGGGACGCAACTCAGGTAGTCAGACCTGAGTGGCAATGTTTTTACACACTGAGACATCTCACTGGCCACAGAATTTATGTTTTTCGTGTTTTTGTTTTTTGCTTTTTTTTTCCCCTTTTGAGACAGGGTCTTACTGTAGCCCCAAATGGCCTGGAACTCACTCTGTAGACCAGGCTGGCCTCAATCTCAGAGATGCACCTGCATCTGCCACCAGTGTGCCACCATGCCCAACTTCCCAGGATTTAAGTCATCTTTTGATATGATGGTATCTGAGAAAGGAAAAGGAAGAGGAGAAAAGGGTACAGGCGGGACTGTTCTCCACAGGCTTTTCAAACTCACTACTTTAAGTAACGCTCACAAAACTTTATTCAAAACAATCTGCTCTGCTGTTTAAGAAAACAAAAAAGCAAACAATCCCCCCGCCCAAAGAAACGAAGCCTTTATCCCAAGTACTTTACGAACCAAAACAGTAAAGTACAAGTGCTATGTGCCAAATCATGGTAGGCATTTCTGCTTGTTTAAATAAAAGTGAGCATGGAGCCTCAGAAGGAAAGAAATCCGCTTCAATGTGAAACTGCACCCTGTAGCACTGTGAGGTGAGTTAGGAACTGAAGCCTTCGCCAGCCTTCAATTAAGGAGCAGCTGACATACAGACTCAGCTTGAAGAAAGACAAACAACCACCTCATAAACAAATGAGGAAAGTGTGAGTGATTCCAACTTTTATAATGAAATGTATTTAATAAAAATTAGTAAACTATTCCATTCATGAGAAAACAGTCCAAACTCAATCAAATCTACAAAAAGGCAGATTCTAACTAACAGGTCCACTGTAGCAGAGGACCCTAAAGAACTCAGGAAATTAGGGGGGAATCTTAATTTCTCAACACTCCAGCTTAGCGCAGGGGGGTTATGAGAGGAAGTGGCAGGCATTCACGTCATCTTCCTGGCTCTGAACCATTGATCTCACCGATGTAGTGACCAAGCAGTTACTCTCATGCAACCACTGTATTTCAGAGGGTGTACACAAAGCATTTTATATACAAGACATAGTCAATACCCAAATTACCATCTTCCCCCATTCACAATCTCTATCAGCTGTTAACCCATCAAACACCTTCCTTACACATTCCTGGAAGGTCACTGTCATACTCCTAAGACTGCTATGACAAGTTGCCACAAACTTAGCAGCCCTGAACAACAGAAATGTATTATCTCATAGTTCTGGAGAATAGAAATCTGAAATCAAGTTTAGCTGGGCACAGTGGTTCACGTCTGTAATGCCAGTATCTGGAGACTAAGGTCAGTCTACCAGAACTACAGAGTGGGCCTCTAGAAAGAAAGAAAGAAAGAAAGAAAACAAATGAAGAGAAGGAGGGAGAGAGGGAGAGGGAAAGAGGCAGGAAACTTACTTCTGGCACCGTGGTATGGACAGGCTTCCCTTCCAGGGGCTCAGAGGGAGGGGCAGGCCCCTGTCTGCTCCCAGTTTCTGTTGGCTGGCAGCCCTTGGCATATTATACTTTACTCCCTCTGCCTGCTTGTGATTTCTCTTCTGTCCTGTCTCTTTCTCATTGGGTTTAGGGCTCACTTGGACAGTCGTGATGACCCTTTCAAAGGAAGCCACATTTACAGGTTCCAGGTTGACAACCACTTTGGTTGACACACTTGGAAGCAGAGAGGAGGGGGAGGATATAGTATTTAACCCATTAGCCTTCCAAGATTAGTTATATCCTAATTACCAATCAATCCTAATTTAAAACAACTTCAAGGCTGGGGTATAATATATTAGATACAATGTAATATAGCTCAGTGGTAGGACTCTTGCCAAGCATGTTGAGGCCCTGGGTTTGATCCCCCAGTGCCACTACAAAAAAAAAAAAAAAAAAAAAGAGAGAGAGAGAGAGAGAGAAAACAAATCAGAACCATGCCAGATCATACTTTTCTCAATTCATTTTTTTTCACATATTAATTCTCCAATAATTCTTCAAAGAGAGATTCAATCTCATAACTTTTCCTTAGTCACTATAAGTGAGGCAGGCATGGTAAAACAGTGAATGTAAACAGGCAGACGCCATGGCCCACAAGAATACTGCTTTCAGGGATCACTGAAAAAGAAGTCTCTCATGCACTGGTCAACTTCAACATAACTTTTAGCTTCTATCCACACACCTTACTCAGGATCAGTACTCTTAAAGTTAAGCATACAAACAGAATTTATTGATACGAACAACACTGCCAAGTTCAACACTATCTTGGTTTTATGCTGCTAGCTATATTTCATTCACATGCTAGTAAGTTGTCGTTCATACATGAAAATTTCCAAAGGTTACTATAATGTAGGCATCCTTAAATGAAGTCCACTTGATTTTTTAAAATAATATTATTATTGTTATTATTTTGGTCTTTTGGAGACAGGTAGCCCCAGCTGGCCTGGAACTTCCTATATAGACCAGCCTGACCTCAAACTTACAAAGATCTGCCTGCCTCTACCGCCCAGTGCTGGGATTAAAGTTTAAAGTCATGCACCACTATGCCTCGCTTTTTATTATTTTTTTATGTGTATGAGTGTATTACCTGCATGCAGGTAGGTGCACCTGTGTCATGCAATGTCCATGGAGGTCAGAAGAGGGTGTCAGATCCCATGGAACTGTAGTTACAATCAGTTGTTAGCTGCCATCTGGGTGCTAGGAATTGAACCCAGGTCCTCTGCAAGAGCAGCCAGTGTTCTTAACCACTACACCATCTGTCCAGCCCCCGAAGTCTACTTGTTTAAAGAATGACTTCGAGAAATGGGAATACCTATACATTCTCTGAATCAAAACAGCAAAACATTCGGATTTGGGGGTGATGCAGTATTAATGTTGGAAAAGGGCTTTCTTAAACACCTATTTAAAAAGCAGCAGCCCGTCAGGCCCCATGAAAACAAGCACACTCAAGCTCCCTCTAACCAACCGCTGTCCTGCTGTGCAGACTCAGGAAAAGAAGCGGGAAGCCCCAGAAACTGTGCCAGTTTAGATATGGAGTGTTCCCCAAGGCCCAGGGAAGCATGGCTCCCAGGCCTCAGACCACAGGAGGTGGCAGAACCTTCAGGAGTGGCCAAGTAGAAAGAAGGCCAGTCTCTGGGGTACCCAGGTATCCTTTCTCTCTCTCCCTCTTTACCTTCCCCTCTCCCTCTTTCCTCACCAGCTACCATGAAGTAAGGTTTGCTCTGCTATGGCCTCCCTACCACAATTCTTGCTTCAATACAGCCCCAACAGCAGAGCCAACTGATGGGGGACTAATACCTCTGTAACTGTGAGCCAACCTACAAGTTGTTCATCCCCAGTATTTCGTCACAACACCATAAAGCTGAGCAGCAGAGGCCCATTTCCTTCTCTACTCAGGGTTCAGCTGTGTACATGAGCCTCTTGGCTAAGGGGTAGACACATTTAAATGCACGCAGAAAAGTTCCTAAACAGCCGTGTGGTTCTTCAAGAAAAAGATCCAAGCAGTGATACCAGTATAGACTGTACAATGATTTAAACTTAAATACTACAAAGCACAGTAGATCACACAGAGAGAAAGCAAGGGCCAGCCAAACGCCTATCACCCCATCTCCATAAGCTGAATGAGGATTGTGTTAGAGGCACAAGCAAAACAGCATCAGCCTCTTAACCGACAAAGGCTGCCTTCCCACTGACACATTTGTGCCCTGCACCCCCATCTGGGAATAAATCAGGGACACTGAGAGACGGGTGAACAGCTCATACCTCCACCAGGAATAATCGCCAGCTTTGTTTCAACCAGGCCCATTTTTGCCGAGGAAGCTAAAAAGAAAGAAAGAGAATTAAGTAACACCCATGTCCTCGCTTTCCAACTGACATCTTTGGGTGAGTAAAACAAGGTGCACTGGAAACACTCTGCTTGCTAATTAAACTGGCAGCACAATTTTTAGAAAATCACTTCAGAAGGTACGTTGTTATGAAAACACACACGATAAATGCCCTCCCTAAAGAGAACAGGGACATTTTCTGTTCGGAGCTCCGTGACGGTGTACTACTTCCTGATGGTAAAGAACCCAGTCTTTAGGCCTGAAGGCTTACACCCCATTTTGCCTTTCCAGGATCAAGTGCGAGACTGTGAAAAGTACAAATCCGTTAGCTGCCTGGCCAGTCCCCAGATCAAATGACTCTATACATTCTATCAGATATGGGGAAATGTTCAAGACCCAGTGTCTCATTTCTGATACTACACCCCAGTGCCTATTCTCATGGATACTTTACTATCCAGGCTACTTCTGCCGTGCTCACTCCCAGAATCTGCCTTTTCTGAATGGAGTACACATGCCTCACTCCTCAATTTAAACCTCAATTGATCTCTTGTACCAGAAAAGAAGCAACTAATTATCATCACAAAAACACAGGCCTAAAATAACAAGGAAAGAAGGGAAAAGTGCCCTTCCCGTCCCAAGACAACCACATAAAGCTACTAAAAGGCAGACTAAACTCCCGTGCTTAGCTTGTAATAAGCAGCCACACGGGAAGTGGCCATGGAAACCAGGGCAGAACAGTGACAACTCTGCTGCTGACTTCATTCAGTTCTCAGTGCCAAGCCCTAGGATACAGGCACTGCTGAGACACTGGAAGACAGAGTACAGAACAGCACAGGGCACAGCAGTGTTACACTATCTCAGAGGGGAAAGAGAAGGGCAGGCTGCTAAGCCACAGCCTGGGCTCAAATCCCAGCACCCCCACC